GCTTATTTCCTGCTTGTTTCACTAGTTTTCTCAGCTCCATATACAAAAGCAATCTGGTTCCTGCATTTCACATTCACTTCCATGCTGGGCAGATTTATATCTGAACAGTCTGTTCAGGTTTGATGGTACAGTCTCCATTAAATGAAAAAAAAAAAAAAAAAGGAAGGGAAAATTCACCCAAACATCTGCTGTATTGTGAGGAAAGGTAGGGGCTGACTCTGATGTCAGTACAAGATGGTGGTGGTGGGGAAGGTGTTTGCAAAGACTAACTTTAGCCCAGTCAATCTAATCTCCCAGGCTAAATTAGGTTTGTACTGAGACTTGCCCTCAAGAGGATCTTGTCTTTCCACTGGCTCTGCAGAGAGCCTGGAGAGATTAGGTTCATGCACAGTAGTTACCCTTTGTGGAGGTATCTGCAGACACTTTCATGGATTTCCACACAGAGCCAAGGTAGGGGATAACAGCAAAGTCACATTTCGATCTTTGTGGCATCTTCTGAGTCTTAATATCAGCAAAGAGGCAAAGGCCTTTAGATGACAGTTTCATAAAAGCTTCAAGTAGTTTAAGGCAGTACTGCAGCTCAAGCCTCCTGCCTCACTTTCCTCTCCCCACATCCCACCCGCTTATCCCCATGGCTGCACACCCCTATCCATACACGGGTACAGGTGCCTGGGCTGCTGCCCACTGAACTCATCTAGGTTAAAACCAACCTTGGTGTGGAGGGAGTCTTAACCTGGACTAGTTCTGCTGCAATACGTTTTGCCATGTAGCTGTCTTAATCAAAAGGAGAAAAATAAAGGAAAAAGGGAGGAAAGACTGGTGTGGGAGCAGGGATGAGCAGCTAGGAGTGGGTGGCTGGGACGGGCTGCCTCTTCAGCAGCTGAGCCAGCTTAAAGTGTTTATAAAGCTACAGCTTTTGTTTCTCCAGTGTCTTGCAGAGCCACATTTTCCTCCTCCTGTTTGTATATGCTAGGCTCCCTCCTCCTATATTACCAACTCAGCTGTGCACAGATTTACGTCTAGAGGCCAGAACAAGCTTGTTAGAGATATCCGAAGCAGTTTCGAGAAGGCAAGGACTCGTAAGAATCTCTTAAAAGTCCTTCGGATTAGCAGTAAAGTTTACTGTAGGTTAACTGAGGATTAATTTTTTAGTGCATTATTCATTTCCAGGACTAGAATTTTGCCTTTTTCTAGGTTTCAGGAATCCTTCTGGGTAAAGCTGCCATCTCATAACATTTTCTACATTAGAGCCTCAAATGGTTACTGAAAAATGTCTTTTAATTTTGCCTTTTCCTCAGCAAAGATCTCCAAGTTTGCTAAAATATTAAACCATGATTTTAATATCCTAAAGATATTAAAGATATCTCAAATACTTAACCACTTTTATGACTGAAATTCAAAGCTCAATACATTCTAAACAGGCTGTCAGAGGAGACGAAACATCCTGCCTATTCAGCTGCATCCTGCTCCTGGAAAATTTTAGTTTGCTGTACAATTTTAATTATCACCACTGCAGCTATAACAAGGAGGAGTAAATAGAGGAGCAACAGAGAGCTAATGAATAAAAATCAAATTAAGGATTTGAATTTTCTGTGAGAAGGGCCTGAGGAAATATTTGGATGCCTTCACTGAACATTACAGTTTTCCGTGATAAACACTGACAGAGACTATGCTTCAGTATTTCACTGACTTTCGACTCCTCGTCTTCTCATTCTAGTTTAACAGGTGTGGAATTTTGTAAGGAAGTGGACAGCAGTTAAGTGGAAATACACTGAAAACTAACATCAATTCAATGCTGAGACTGGGATTAATGCATAACGCACTGCTGCAACTTCTGGAATTCTTGCTAATTCTTGCTACCCAGTCTACAAGGTATTTATTCTACTGAAAGAAAAAAAACCAACCCAACCCAAAACCAGCAGCGTATTAAGGGATACACAGACAATAAAAAAAAATTACACATGCATACTGTGGAAGCGTCTAAAGCAGAGTTAATATGATCCTTACAAACCTTCTGATTTTCTACTTGCTACCTTTTTTCTTTTTTCAGATAAAAAAAAATAGCCCAAAGAAAGGCAATCTTAGCTGCTGTGGCCTTATCCTTTCCAAAGGCCTTGCTAGCTTAAGGGGTCCCTAGTTCTACCAGTGTCTCAAAAAATTAAAATAAAATAAAATAAAATAAAATAGGGGAGCCTGAGTGTTCAGAACCACTCTAGTTCAGAGGTGATCTATTAAACCTGAAATAAACGTTTTGGTGTCATGCACAGATTTGGCTGCATAAAGAGACAGTCCCAGCTGATAAAAAGGCTATTAAGCAAAACACAATACCAAAAGGCAGAGATGAAGTTTTCAGTATTACGTGAGGAACCTCCAGCTTTTCCATGGTACTGGAAGGCTCTGACTATATTTCTGGAAAAAGTGTTCTTCTGAGACAGATACTTCAGTTTGCAGTAGAAGGAAGAAAGGGGTGCTGCACAGTTTTACACTCCAGTATGACTCCAAGCTCAGTCTCCAATTCCCAAACGCCTCTGAAGAAGCGGATACTGCCATCTGAAATAGAAACCTAGACAAGAAGTTCTGTTTCATTTCTCAACAGAATTCTCTCACTACTTTTCCTCTTCTGTTCATTGTCATAAAATTCAGAGTTTCTTTCTGAGCCTGTTCTATCTTCTTACCTCTGTTGTTCTTGGAAAGCATGCAAGTCAACTAAAGCAGCACTCCCTTCTTTAGCAACTAACCTTCTTTTCTTCACTCCACAAAAAGCAGGTTTATGCCTCCTGAACAATCCCAGAAATCCCTTATAGCATAATACAGTGAGAGAAATCCAACTCCGTCAGTGTTACTTGTGTAGATGTAACCAGAAGAGAGGGCAGTGAGAAGAAACCCTGAATTAGCCCTGTCCTTGTCAGCTTTAAGATAAGCCTCAGCTTGTCAAGCATAGTGTCAATACTACTGTTGTCATAAACATCAAGAGTTAACAGAAGATGTTTTAAAAAAATATGCCTTTAATTTTTGTAAACGATATGTTACTCTGAAAAGCAATAAATAAGGATGTTTTTAAAATTTCTACTTGCCTTTTGTGTAAATAAAAATGTTTCCCCCATGACTAGAAAACCTATCACAAACACAGCTTGAGATGCTTAAGGATTATTTTTACCCACCAATTACAGAAGTTCTACATGTCAAATGATGTCTTAACTCTGTGTCCCCATCATTTTAAATTGCACTCTCAGATAATCCAGCATCACAGACACCAATTATGCATGTATTTAGTCTCATACAAACTCTTTTGTGTAGATTCCAATTTCTTCCACACCAGTTCATTCAGAAATAATACCAATTAAACGCAGTAGAATCCCATAAATTATAATGGCTACATAAATTATTATGGCTACAGGATTAGAATTAGGACTTGCTATCTTTGAAGTCTGCCCTGGTATCTGCTCAATATGTTCTTTTCACTGAATCTGCAACAATCATAAGCAATTTGTTAACAAAATGGAACCAGAATACAACTTGCTTTCTACGAGCTACTTAGTGTAGGAAAAGTGTAGCAATTTTGTAGGCACGAGTCTCTTGGGGTTATTCACTTGTGTATAAAGAAAGTAGATCTTTTTTTTTTTTTAATATTGATTTAGAGCCTTTCCCAAGGAATGTGAGCAAATCCCCTCACCCCTTGTCCCCCCAAATCACACTCTTATAATAGAGAAAGGCCAGATGTATGGGGGTGGGGGCAACTGTTTGAATCATTAGAACTAACTGAAACCTGCATCCTAATTTACACTGAAGAACCTTCACAGATGAGGCTACTGAGTTGTGCCTACATCAGTGCCCATAGTAAAGAAGAGTGTATACTCATTTATGGATTACCAATTGGGTTCTCTGCGCCCACAAAAGAAATACCTCCTCGGCAACAACTTTGGGTTCCTAAACTGTAGTAAACTGGCACATTAGCAGCAGATGCTAATAAAAATATACATAAAATTTCTTTTAGTCATTTATTCTAATTGGTTTAAAACCTCATGTGTCTTCTGCCAAGTGTAAAAACATTTTAAAGTCATACAAATACAAGTGACCCAACAATTCTAAATACATAGTCCATGGTACAATAATATGAAATCAGCACATAGAAGGGATTATCCATTTTATTTTCTTTAGAAATGGATCAATGAAATCACTGTGCTTCAGGAACACACTAAAAAAATTTAATGGGACTTTTACACCAGGTAGCCTTCCCCTTAACAAAGTTATCCATTGCTTATAATAACGCGGATTGGATCTGGAATAATAGAAACATGAATCCAGTGCCACCTCAGAGCTACGCTGATAGCAAGTACATTCACAACCAAACCCTCCCGCCCCAATTCTTCAAAACACCTGCAGAGTCCCATTTCTACAGCTAGCTAAAAATATTCTTGCTAAAATAGAAAAAGATTTTTCTACAAAAATTTGGGGGAAGTCATGACATTTCATCTAAATTGCTTCGCAAACAACTAAGTACGATGATAGATCAGTCTTCCCAAGACTCTCCCCTCCAAGATTTCACCCGGATTTTCACGTTCCTAAAAATAGTCCAACATTGCCACCATGTGGTCGGAGATGGGCACGTTCATCGTGACAGTTGCACATGACGTCTCTCAGAGAAAATCCATGACAAATATCTAGTCAGTGAATAACCACACTGCAAGTAAAAAAGGAAACTGAATTCTGAGAACTGAGTCCTTATGCAGGGAAACCAATTCTAAGTATGGACCAATGTAAGAAAAATAATTTAAGATATTTTGTGATTAAGTCTTCAGTATCGTGACGCTCCCCTCCTCAAAGGCACAATCCGTTTCCTCTCACTTCTTTCTCAGTACAGCATGTTCTTGCCAACAAGCAAAATCTACGTGTATGCAAAATGCCTAATTCATTTCTTTAAACGTAAATGTACTTGAAAAATTTGAAACCTTTTCCCTGGAGTTCAAGAAGCAATAGAAATTGAATTTTAAAATCATCTTTCACATAGACTTTTTCATTGCCGCCTTTCTCACACTGAAGAGATATGCTTCATAAATAATATTTAAGAAGTTGTCATCATTCTGAAAAACAAAACAAGTAACTGTTAGTGCATGATAGGTGTTCCTGAGTAAAGACATTAGAAGTTTTTTCCATTTCATGAATGAAATACTTCTCAACCTTACTCTATTTTAAAAAGTGAGCAATAGGAAGGCTATTTCCTTTACCACGAGTATGTATTATTTCCAAACCCTTAAAAGAACTGGATGTGAATATAAACTTTATTGCAGCAAACATGACTGTATCTCTACAAGAACTAATGAGTACACAGAAAGCAGACTTTCCAAACTCACAGTGGATTTAACTTGAGTCCTCTATTCTTGAATGATACCGCAGTGACGATACGATCCTGTAAATTTCTTCCCTCTGCCCTCACTTACCTAGGGATTTCCTGAAGTAGCCTCCTCCACTAGGTCAGTGATAATTCTAAGCATGTCTGAAGGAACAGTGAAACACCCTCGGTTTTGATCCTATAGTAAATCCTACCTGGGCAAATCCTAGCATCTTGTTTAGCTCTTTTAGACTTAATGCTCCTAAACTGACGCTGCTCCTTTTGCTCTGATGCTTGTTTAATCTTTTCCTTCTGAAGATCATTTTGCAAGAATGGGCCAACCCACATTAAGAAACAATGTCCTAAGTAGCTCACATAAATTTATGAAGATAATTAAAATCAAGATACTATTTGAGGAAAATCAGGAGCATTCGAGATTGCAGTTTTATATAATGGAAAGTAACAGGTAAGAAATGGGCAGTAATTTCCAGGTAACTCTGTTAATCCTAACTACCACCAAGAACAGCAGGGTCAAATATACAAGTACAGTTTCAGAGGGTAAAATCCAATTTTCCTTGACTAGTTTCCTTTTTAACTTCACACATGGTTTTCCTACTATCCAGATACTCAAAGTATGTAAAGACAGGATAATGTAATATTTTTATCCCTAAAAATACAGGGAGAAATGAGAAAAGCTTCTAATTTGTTAAAGATACTAGTTTCTTTCTGGGTCTATAATTTAAATCGCATTTTAAGTAAGTACCTTCAACATTCCAATAACGACTTTTATTTTTATTCCAAAGCCATACAGTCACATAGTTTTGGCCTACAAATTGGACCCTTAAACCTGTGTGTCTATTCCTTATGCTTTATAGCCTGTCTTTAGTTATAAAACCTCTCCTCAACCTCTACTCTTCAGATATTCATCACATGGCAAGTTAAGGAAAAAAAATATTCATAATCACTCACATCATCCCAGAGCAGTAAACAATCATCTCATACATAATGTTGTTAATGCTTTGTCACATTTAAACCTGAGTAACAGCAGCAAGAGGAATTTTAGCATTTGAACCGAAGAATTACATTGAATAGACTGAACTAGTATATTTTTAGGTTATCTAACCTGTACTTTGAAGTTGCTTATACTCATCCTGCAATTTCAATTTCCCATCTGAATTCCTGTTACTGCTAACATGCACCTCTGAAATATTTGGCAGCTAGGATAATCACCCATTATTTATTCTTAGCTAAAAATATAATAAATATCTCTCTGGCTCATAGGCCACCTTATGAAGCTTCCAGTCATCTTTGTTCTTTTCCGTCAAATTTATTATCTTTCCTGAACCCAAAACCAGATGCATTAATCAAAATGCAGTTAAGCCAGCAGCGTGCAAGGAGAAGCTATCACGTCCGTGGTCTATACCATAGTGTTCCATTAACGTGCAGCCGTAAGTAGGCACAACTTTCATCATATATTCTAATTACTCATTTAGCCACTAGACAGATGGATACAACCGATTATAGGGTGCTTATATCAAAATGGGAATCAGAATTTTAAGCGAAGTAGAATTCTTGGTGCTTTACCTGGATCAGGTGTAGAAGTGTTTCCTGCAGCTGCATCTTCGTCATTGAGCTGCTGTTGACCACAGATGGCTCTGGGGTTTGCAGTGGCAGCAGCAGACTAGCTGAGCTAGGAGAAGGTTCTTGGTTTGCTGCTGTTAACCGCCCACTTTCATTTGCTTTTGGTGGAACAGGTGTGGACTGAGTGAACACCATTGGGGTACCTGGATCAGGTGTAGAAGTGTTTCCTGCAGCTGCATCTTCGTCATTGAGCTGCTGTTGACCACAGATGGCTCTGGGGTTTGCAGTGGCAGCAGCAGACTAGCTGAGCTAGGAGAAGGTTCTTGGTTTGCTGCTGTTAACCGCCCACTTTCATTTGCTTTTGGTGGAACAGGTGTGGACTGAGTGAACACCATTGGGGACATCAACAAGGTAGGAGTCTTGAGGTGAGATTACCTGTCCATATAAAAATAAAGTCATCAATTAAACCTATCTACTTAATTCTATGGGAATAAAGATGATGAAAACTGCAGACTGATTGGCAACAGGTACAGAGACTGCTGGCGATCGATACAGTTACGTGAAACTCCAGTTCAGGACCACCCATAGGATCTATTTCCAGATTAAAAGGTCTTCCATCCAATTTGAGATTGCAGCAATGGATTCAAGTGTGATTAAGTCTATCTGATAGGCAAGTGATCTTAGGACAAGAGCATTTTATTACAGAAATCAGACTACTATTAAATATCAGCACTCTCAGAGAATGCAGCTGTAAAGTCTTTTACATAGGGACAGTAAGTCATTAAGTTTAATCTTTGAGAATGTACTTACATGCAAATATCGCTATTAAAGACTAATCTTTGTACCTAATACTAGAAAGTATTTTCCAATTATAACTTTCAAATTACTTTATAAATATATATATGTATATTTTTTTTTTCTTCTCGTTTTACTTAAGGAGAGGGGAAAGAAAACAGATTAAGTGATTTATCTAAAGAGCCACAGTGAGCTGGTGGCATTGTCAGAAACAGAACCGTCTCCTAACCAACACTCAGCTGACAAAATCAAAAGGCCCTCAAAGAGAAGGAAAACCTACTACTCCTGCAGTAGTTCTGCAGATTCCCTCAGTATCATATCCATGCCAACCTGCAGAGATAGGTGTCAAAGAATTTTTACTTTTAAATTTCGCAATGCGTCTTGGAACTGTAAAACATGCAGGACTAGCAAATACTATCAGATATAATATGCAACACAATGGAAAGTTTATTCACTCAGTTTGCAGATATTAGAGCTCTCTCCAGGTAATTCTTAATCCTAATCAGCCATCTCCTCGCTATTCAGATGTCCAATCTTTTTTTCAAAGAACAGAACATACACAGGAATTGATACAAGCTCACCAAAGCTCCTCTCTTTTGGACTGGAGCATCATTTATTGCTCCTGTATGAAGGTGAAAGGCTACTGAATCACTTCACTCTGTGTCCTGGGTTACATTTCAATTTTGAAAAAAAGTTAAAATTAAGAAAATAAAACTGAGGTTTATCTCTTAAGTATGCAAACCAACATAGTTTAATATTAAACAACATTCATATTGTTGTAGCTTGTCTTACTCCTAGTTACAATTGTTCTACCCAAGACATTTCTGAACAATGTTAGTTAGACTACAATACAAAGAGAAATAGAAAGGAATGAGGAGGACTGAGATCTCATGCTGTTTTACAGAAAATTTAAGGAAGCAGAAAGACTAGGGGTCAGGAAAGACTCATGGATATTAGAAAGCACGCAATATGCACCTAATGCAAAAATCTCTCAGTTCACGTTTTAGGTAAATATTGTTTCTGCTTCTCCAATATAGAATACTACTTAAAAATGAAACTCTTGACCCACAGCTTTTTTCCTACCCCATGACATGTAATCATAACAGCAATCATCAGGTCTGCGTTACAAGCTCCTGAATGAGTTAAGGTATTCCTAACTCATTGTAGGTTTGCTTCAAACAGTAAGGTAGTGCATATGTTTGTGCACTTATCCTTGAAAAACCATGTTCATTTTAGAAGAAAACCAATGTAAGTCCTCTGTGGAGCGAGACCTTCAGACTGTGCACAGATGTTCTCCTGGAAGTGCGAAGATTGTTCTCCTGCCTGTGGAAGATTGACTACCTCCAGACACTTACCACAACACTTCTACTCCACTCATCCATGCAGCTGAAGTAACTTCTCTTTAATTTACCTCAAGCAAAACTGGCAGGGTTTGCTTAAACCAGATGATTCTTCTAATGTGATTTAAACAATGCATATACAAACTGCTCTCCAAGGGCAGGAACCTCCAGCAAAGGGATGGTGGTGAGCAGCTGGAGGAGCTAAACTGTCCCACTAATACAGCTGAATCTATGACAGACTAGGTCAAAGACCTAGATGACATATCCTTTGAAATCAAAAGACATTTCTCTCTAGAGTCCAAGGCAAATAAACAAAACTTGAGAAACTGTGCTCTTAATTACATACAGTTACTACTGTCAAACACATATAATGTTGTGGTTTAAGAGACATATGAAAAATTATGGTTTTTTCCCTGGATAGAATCGGCTTTTTGGCAGGACTTGCCAAGCATATGGAAGCTATATGGAATAAGCAATATTGCCATCTACTGGTGACACAGCTAATACCTACAGGTTACTGCAAAACTTAAAATACTTGTGTCAGAAGAAGAATAATAAATATATACATCATTTTTTCAGTGCACAGCATTTTGTTTCTGTATGCAAACATTAAAATGTATTTTTTGCTAACAGTTCATGCTCAAAGCTTCTGCCATTTAACAAACTCTTACATAAACAACGTCTTTTGTTTTAAACATAAAGCCAAATTTTCATTTTAGATTTAGTTCAGATCACCTTCAGTCATTGGGGCAACTGACATCCACCAGAAAGCGGGATGCTGTTCTTGGCATTACTAGTGAAATTCCTATAGCACCATACTTTTGCTGAAAGCCCTGAAAATACTCTGTAGGGACACAATAGCCTTTGGGCCATTCTTTTAGCTTTGAGTAATTTCTCACAAGACATAACAGCCCTTCCAAAATGCTCTTGATCAACTTCTTTCCCACAGAATCTAACTGGAGTTGCTTGTTCATCCAGCCTTTACTGAATTATCTCCAGCTTTATCAGGTCAACACTTAAATCTCCGAGTCACTAATAACAGAGTAGGATTCTACCGTCAGTTGTGCAACAATGAAGTAAGAACAATGAAAAATGTGCAAAATAATCATTGCAGCATATAGCATTCCTTCTCTGAAACACAAATGCTCACTAAGATATCTGTTTGATATTCTGCGTGGCTGCTGGCAGCTAGATGACATGATAGCTGGCAAATTCATGTAACACCATAAACTAGGGAATGCATTGATCTCCTGTAATGCACATTGGCACCCTCCGTTGCCTCCTACACGTGCAGACTCCCACGTGCATCAAGTGCTCCTCCGGAACATGAGCACCTGCTGGGTGCTGCGGGCCTCTAACTGTTTTTAGTGGCATTACTTAAACCTGAGAACATTTAATCTAAGAATGGTTCAGGAACTTTAAAGACAGTTACTATTAAAATAAAGCTGGCTACAATGCTAACATTGCTTTGTCTTTCAAGTTTAATTCATAATTTTTAAATTTATGTTTAACTACAGAATCTTAAATTACTTTTCAAAACAAGTTTAATGTACCTATTGCCTTCCTCCTGTGCATGTTTACAATCTCATGCTGAAACTGCAGTCAGGACAATTGAGAGGTAACGGTGTGATGCTTACACCAAAGATACTAGGTACCATGCACATATTCAGAAGATGTAACGCTATGTACAAAATATATTCTTGATGGAAAATGGTCCAAGAAATGAGAAAAATGGGCTGCAAGATAAGTGGCCTTCTGAAGAAAAGACAAATATGCGTCAAGGTTATTGTAAGCACTTCTAAAACCATAATTCTGATTAACATAAACACTTAAGCATGCATGTATCTATAATGAGGATAACTCATGCCTAACACTGAGCATATGCTTAAAAGCCCACTGCAGATTAATGTTTTTTTATTGCATCTTAAGCACACGTTACTCACTGTCCACATAAGGAATACTTCACAGAATAGGGCTGGCACCAGACCAGACTGAATGCTTCCGAATATTATTCTTCAGCTTTTGCTTTTTTATTTCTTCTTCTTTTTTTTTTTCGGTAACTGGTCTCTTCCTTTCCATGTGGGAGATCACAGTTCTTACACCATATGGAGATGCAGCAGAAGCCAATTTAAACTTGGACTTGCAATGTGTCAATTGTGGAAAAGACTATTGCTTTCATTTTCTCAGTGCTGCTGATGGATCTAGTGTGTTCCTTTATGCGATTTTTCCAACAACAGACACTGTCCAGATACCTTTCTATTCCTGTCAGACTTTTTAGAATTTGCTTTTTCTGTATGCTGAATTGTAGTCAAAGAGGCAATACCAAAAGATAAATAATTACGGAGAACAAACCTTTTGCTGCATTTGTTGTCAGAATCTGCTTTGATCAATTTTGCATGAGCATGTGCAGATATATTTGTGCCAATTCAATTTCACTCGAATGTCTGTCTGCAGGCATGGCAGCACTTAAAGCCTTTGGTCTACAGCAAGGATGATATTATAAAAAGATTAATGTTAGTTTAAAAAGTTGTTTCAAATTTTTATCTTCCAATTTTTTTTTCAAAAGTAGGAATATTTCATGTGGCTAATTCACAGCATTCTACAGGAATACAGACTCATTCCTTCATTTTTAGCCCCCCCTCTCCCCCCCCTTTTTTTTTTTTTTTGGCAATCTGCTGCATGTAAAAGAGGCCGTTCCTTCCAGATTGCAGAGCTTTAGGTGTCATAAACAATAATTAGGCTTACTTTCATTACCATTTTTATTCTATGTATTAAGTCTCACAAACAATACTAAATGTGTCGGAAGAACTGCATCTAATACTGTTTTGATAGCAGCTGTGGCTATCAGTCCGTAAAGCCACTCTTAGGCAGTCTCAATCTACTTGGTCTGCTCACAGCCATGCAAAGCGAGACCGAGAGTCTCCTTAGTTGCTTTTTTTTTTTTTTAAGAAGCAAACTTGCAGCAGTAATCACAGTGAATGAGACTTGTTCCAGTGAAGATTGTTCTCTTCTCTCGAACTATTGTTCTATTTGTACTCAAGCGTAAAATTATTGAAATTGCATTATGTCAGACCTCAGTAATTCCCTTTCCATATTGCAACTAATGCTGGCATCATTTTCTTTTTCAAATATATACAAAGCCATTAGCCATATCAGCATCAACATGGATTTTTCATTTGAAAATATTTGCCATTTTTTATTTATGCATACTGGCTTATAATGTATAGACTGGCACTTGACTCAT